TAAATATAAATATAAACAAATTTGTTTCTATTTGCATGAGTAAGTGGTCCTGAACTTCATTCCGACTTTGTGTTGAGATGAACAAGGCAGTATTTTAAATGCACTGTATAATTTGGCAGTTCTAGTAGCGAATCTGGGCGTACAAATTAAAGATTTTTTTTTATTTTTGTTACAAACTTATGAAGCGATTAGCATTTTGAGTGCCTGAATAATTACCATAAAATGATGTACGTATTCAGGTAAAATGATGAACTACGAACATATGATTGATGAACATAAGTATTAGTAGAGCGCCCTCATCGTCTAAAATTGAATTATAACCTCAAAACATACAATTGCACTTATCGAATGTGCCTAGCTCCCCTAGGTGTTTTCTATCTTCTGTGTCACACTATTCAACACAGGCGGACCTTAAAAAAGTATTTAAGGTAGAATTATTGTTATTTTTATGCGAATGTTAAAACGCGACGTCATGAATATATTAATAAATAAGAGAATTGCAATTGCAACATTACAGACGCCATTAACACGTCCTTTCAATTAATTCTTTCGTTTTTTAAGGCACAATCTAAAACTCGTTGACGGTTCGTTTAATTTGTTTGTCTTTGAAGTGATTCTGACAAAAATCAAGATTTATTTCGATACTAAAAATGGTGTTATTACGTGCTAGATACTCGAGTGCAGAAGACAAAACGTCAATCCTCGGGGGCGGACATCCGGGCATTTTCACCGCCTGGCAACCCGCGGCGGTGAAAACAAAGGCCCAAAACTCGCAGAAAACGGTACTTTGGGATGATTGTTGAGACTCCTCTGACCAGTGCAACAAGATTAGCCCTACGTGTGAAACATATATAAATTTGGTTGTTCGGGATTACTTCAAAGTCGAGTTTGTGTTGTTTTCTCGAATTTTCACCGGCTCGACCGGCGTTCCACAGCAGCGCGCACAGAGCCCATAGAAATACATGTACAGCGGTGCGCGTCTTAGCAACGTGGAACGTCTGTGACGTAGCTCCGCCCCCGAGGATAACGCCCAACCTATCGGCTGGCTACGGCGCCCTCTCAGTTGGAATGTGTTAGAATATAGCGTTCAAAATTGGAATTGTTTTATGCTAATATAGCTGCTAATATCAAGGATATTGTAAATAATTGTTATTATTGTTATATTCCACCAGCATAAATTATTTACTGTTTTGCTTATTATTTCATGTGTAATTTCTTGGGCCAATAAATGACGATACTGAATGTTATCCACTGTATTTATGCTTAGGTGCCAATGTATGGGTTTAAATCTTCTCCTAATTATTATTCGATACTTTCGAAAAACAAAAACAAAAACAAAACTGAATGGGCTTTTGAGTATTTATGTTAATTTAATAGGAGTCACTCAAACATTCTACAGAAATGACAACGTAAAATATTATTATATTAGCATAATATTACATTAACAGCGTTCTCTTCATGTACGTCATATGACAACTCTAACACGTGCTATTGCATGACAACAGTGAGACTCACATATTGAAACAAATGTTTAATGTACGACCTGCCAGTCTTGGAGTCTTCATTAGGTCTAACATAGTGTATTTCCTTGGCGTTTCCGTCTGTTTAATTATAGAAACATCAAACGATTACTGTGGTCGCAGTGAAACATTTTAACAATAAATTACTGTGTGCATCTTGCAAACGTTTATTCTTCGTCAACGCTGTTAGCATATCCATCAATATGTATTGTGTTACAAATTGGAAAACTCATATGACGTCATATGATAGCAGGGGATTTGTTGCAGGAGTCGACAGATTCTTGATGATAATTCGACCATGAAACTTTGGAAATTACCTTAAAACTCACCTCTAATTCTTCAAGATTGGCTTTTCTATCAAGTTCTAGTTTTTGTTCTTCAAATATGTTTTTCGGTAGAGTAACCTTATTTATCTTGGCAGCTTTGCGCAGTACATGATCTGCCTTGTCATATTTACCATGTTGTATTAGCCATCTTATAGACTCGGGAACTAACCTAAAAACAAATAGTGTACAACTTTAGACCATGTTGTGCTGGGCAGTTCTATGAGTGCAGGTCACAATAACACAACAAATACTACTATACACCTTTTATCACAAGACACTAATGTAATTAGTTTACTACTTACCAATAATACGATAAAAGAGGTAGTCCTAACACTGATATTGTAAATTGAAGTTTTCTCCAGTGTCCGTCCAACAAAAAAGCTATTAGAGCCAACAGTATGTAACCGATAGCAAAGAATGTGAAAACCATTGTTCCAGCAAATGTGCGTTTTGATTTACCAACCAGCTCCATGCCTGGTGAGAATATTGAATTATATAAGAAATCTGATTTGCAATGAATTGTTACGAAATCTATATTATTGCTGAATTTATTAACGAGTTTTCAGTTGGCTCAGTATTTTCGAATTCAAAAAAGGTTTATATAATTTCTTACATATAACAAATCCGACTATATACATCCCAGAAGTTGTCATCCCAATGAAAAACTGACCAACAGCAAAAGCAGCATAAGTTGGTGAAAAAGCAGTAAGTACACCTACGATGATTCCAAATATGATACTGAAAACAAATACGGGTTTTCGTCCAATTCTGAAAGTGGTGTGTAAGAAAAACATATTACAGTGTATCAACCCCCCAAAAATGCGTCTGATATATCATGAAAATATGTACAAGTGCCACAGACATGTAGTATGGTTTCTGTGTCACTGTGTTAGTATTATCACAGAAGCAACAATAGTGATATTTAATGTATCATATGTAAATTATTTGGCAACTCATATTTAAGAAAATATATTTGGGAAAATTACAGTAAATGTTTTTCAAGGCAAAGCCAATGGAAAAAAAAGCAAGTTTCTAAGACTTATTTCAAAATATAGGTGAACGCGTAGATATATTCGCCTTACCTGTCTGCTAGCTGACCGAATACCAAGGCACCAACTAATTTGCCCAAATAAACAATCGTTTTTGACATCTGCTTCAACCAATCCTTATCGCACACTAAATCAAACTTGAAATGTGAACACTGTAGTTTAGACTATGTACAGAGTTATGATTACAATTAAAGCGGGGTAGTCTTCCCCTGCGCATGCGCAGGTGATAACCCTCCCGCTTTAAGCACGTATCAAAAACGAAATCAGATAATTTTCAACTCGTATTTATTTGCTCATATTATTTTAATATATAGGCCGGATACGCAATACGATTAACTTTTAGCATTATTTTCAGCAGATAGTGTTTGAACACTCACCTCGTGGACGACCGTACTCTCATACGTGCCAGTGTCGTAAACCCATCCATTGTCACATTCCATTGTATCGTACTGATTCGATGCGCATGCGTCCTGGTCGTACGTGGTAATATTAAATCGCTCACATTTTGACCATTCTATATGGCCATCGTCATCAACCTCGTACGGAATCGTACAGTTCTTTAGCATAGAGTTGTCCGTATACGTCTGATCATATAATACCTGGCAGTAGTGGTCAGACGAGGCGCTAAGAAATGTGTTCGCTAAGGTGTAGAACGCACATGGTATAGCAGCCAGACAAATTAGAGCAAGATTCCGTTTTTGGTACCTGCCGAATTCGCCGAGAATTAATAAAAGTTTTTCGAACTTCATATCCTTTACGCGAAGAACTCTTCAAGCTGTGGAACAGCGTGAGATGTAAGACTTCCAAACTGTAACTAAATCTCACTACTTCAAGAATGAAAAAAAACAGATATAAGAGTAATAGTTAATATTGAGGTGGTATACCGTTGCTAGAAACGTTTCCTTTGATGTGAGATGCGATATTTATTTTCTAGCAACTGTACACCGTTGTGTAATTTTAATTTCTAAACGTGATGAATGATATCTTTAATGCTGGTAAATTTAGTCATTATCTACCGAATGCACCAGTGAACATATACAATACATATCATGCAACCAAGATAAGTGTCACTATCCAAACTATGAAAAATCTGTGAATTGTGATTGATGGCAAATGTTATCCTCATGAATCCTATTTTAAACAAGGGAATGCTTGTATTCAATTCTTTTAAAATAACGATTACATAATAATATTCATGGCAGATTTGCTCATGTCATGATTTAATTTGTTCTTAGTCAGGTACGCTTTGGTGGTACTAGTGTGGTTAAATCAGATTTAATATTTTTTTAAGATTGAATTTTATTAATCATTGAATTATTATTTTTCGTTGTGATTATAATTTTCTCCATTAGCACAGGGTCAAGGTTCAAGACGTCGCAATGTCGGCCATGTAATACTTAATTCATATTTGTGTGTAGATTTGTTCAATTTTAATTCAACATATGAACTCCTGAACTCAATATTTATGAAATGTTACCGAACTCTTTCAAAACGGCTTGCATTGTTTATAGGAAATCAATACAAGATACCTGTTCTGATAGCAAGATCAATATTCCAATCAGCATGTATGTATATGTCATTATTGGGTCAACTTGAAGTAGAGTTTTACACAATTCGTAATGTAAATAGATTATCCTGAACGTATGTTTATCCCAGATATCAAATGGTATTTATTTAAATTTTGAATACTTTCTGAAAAAAAAATCATTTGAATAAATATATAACTGATAAACTACGCTCAGGGTTTGTTTACATGATAACAAGCCAAGGACGAGAGAAGGAATGCAAACAAAGGGCGAGATATGCCCACAGCTGACCATAAACAGATCACGCAGTCACGTTATCTCCGATTAAATATAATAAGCTTATCTTTGACCCTTGAATAAGATGTCTACGCAGTTTGGCGTGATGGAAATTTACACCATAGAAATTTGAAATAATAATAAAAGTACCTATATTTAATAAATGTGTTTAAACTATAATAATAACATCATATAAAGTATTTTTTATTCGTATTCCCGAACCGGGTAATATATGAAGATTTATATGAATTTTCCTATACTGATTTCTTGTTTTTAATTGTTAAAGCATATCGTAAGTTATAGGGAGGGGGGGGGTATATTGTCAAATGACACAGTTGTAAAGAGTGGCAATTATATCTCAATGTATTTACTGATAGAAAGATGTTTCTTCTCCTATGTCCAACTAAATGTGAGATGAATTATATATTGTTACACCCAGCCGTTATATGTCGCCAAGTGTTAGAGCGCATATAATCAGTTAGATGCTTTTGGAAATGATGCAAAATGCTAATAAACGTTCATAATGTGGAAAGATCCACAGTCTGTTACATCTTACCTTTATATTATGTTTACTGCAGGCAGCCTGTTACTGAAATGAGTCACCGCATCACTTTGGCTAGTTGAATGCCAGCATGCGCATCGGTCATTGGACTTTGCTCCATACCTCATGGTTTTACATATTGTTTTAATGACGATCGTTGAGGGTGACGTAAATACAGGAAGAACGTCGTGCGGGTTTCACCGTATACGGCAGAGATTACCTTCAGTATAACTCTAATAATTAACTTCTCTCAGACTGGTAGTATGAATATCTTGAAAGTCTCCACCGTTCTTCAGATCTTATATTTTCAAAGAATGGTAGCCTTTTTGTGTAAATATATCGCCATAACTGATAATTTGCACAGATGAAAATATCATAGTAATGAATTTAAATAAATGACAACACAATTTATAAGGTTTCTATTTTGATAAATTAACACTATGTGGCGCTAGACTGGCTAGGAGTGTACATGAAATATATGAAATCAAAATTATCGATCAATGTCGGAAGGTAAACTACACTTCATTGATGCTTTTTCATCTGTTTGTCCCTCCGATGAAACTGTACTAATATTTAAACTCGTGAATGTGTTTCATTATTACCTCTTGCCATTATTTCGGACAGTGAGGTTCCTGTTGATCAGCGAGTAATATTTCAAAATATCAATTAAGCCCGAATAGATATTAAAATATCATTTTTAAATATAGGAGTGTAATGTGTTTGACCCTTCCATATACAGGAATACGAGTATGAAATAATTTTCGATAAAAAGACCCGTATGTAGACTCATAAGCTATTGTGTGAGTTGAATAAATCCAGACTTGTAAATATATATACATAATCACATTAAAAGCAAACTTATGTCCAATCATGGAAGGCTTTGAAAAACGAAAGGAAAAATTACCCTTGTAGAAAACAATGATATACATTAGGTGGATTTACGCTAATCCAGATGACAAGACATTGCTAATGATATTATTTCTTTCTGAATATTACAAACTTGCATGTTGAGAAGACTGATATTAAATAAGTTTTTATGATGTATACACACTATTGATATAGCTAAGTATTGAGTATAATAACATCATGCAGCGGTTTATATATGGACATCGGGACTGTTCATATTTTCATCATATGCCTATAGGCAATGCTGCATCGTACCACCGACATTTTTGAAGTTTATAACAAGAAAGTTGAAATAATTAACACCATTGAGCAGTTAAATCAGGAAGATACACGGTCGAAATGACGTACGCTACTAGTCGGTCAATACTCCCGTTATAATTTGTTCATATATAACTCAATATCTTCGTTATAACCTTATATTATTATTACTTCACTTACCGCATAGACCGCCATAAGGTAAGTGTAGCAATAGTATAATATAAAGGTAAGACTAACCTGTCTCACGATGATCTATTCCCAGTGAACGCACATATGAAAATGTCTGCTTACAACACTTTCAAGGGAGATTTACAAAACGATCATCATCTGAATCTTACTTTAAGCAAATAAACTTTCGTTTTCGTTTAGCGCTGAGCTCATCTGTTAAACAGCATAACGATTCTGTTAGTGTCCAAAGAGGGAACACGTCTTTACAAGAAAAACGTGAAAGCTTGATGGATTACATGTTATTACATATAATGTTAAGTTTTGAGGGCTGATGAGTCCAGAAAAGTTCACTAAATGAACCAAAAATCATGCGCTAGAGACGTACCTGTACAGAACGTAAGCTGCATGTTTAACACCTTGGCTATTCTATTGACATTACCTGCTTATTCTATTGATTTATCTATTTAGCTAATTTGAGATGACTGATAACAGACGTTCAAAACTTACACAGAATAGCCACAACTTGCACGTCTCATTTCGATTGATAAAAAAAGTTGTAAATTTCCATATGCTCCTTGTCGCTGGGTGGAAAATCAAACACTTTGAGAATTTTTGATATTCCGTTCGGCTTAAACAATTACACTGGAAATCAGCAGTGTCATGGAGAAACAATCTCAGTCGTGAGCGATAATTCGAAGTTGTTTTTTGCTCTGTCCGAGGCTTATTAGTTGGTCCAATCGTTCACATTCATGCTTTCATTTTTTATTGTTGTATGTTTTTTATTTTTGGTGAAGTGGGATCAAATTATTGATCGAACATTGGATGTTTTGGAAACGGTCAATGTTGTTTCCGATTCGACAAAGCGTGTTCCGTATTTTACAGAAAACCTGCTGACATCAAGGTTGACAGCAATGTATTAGTTCATTGCTTACAAAACACCCTTAACCAACTGTGTTATGTGCAATTATTACGAGTTAAGCTGAGATATTTCTTGTTCGAAAGTGTGCGGTGTCATCACACTTTCAATTGTGTTTCCTGTTATCTTATACACATACTATGTTACTATGATGGGAAGTTGGGTGATATAAACTTCCGAATATCTTACTGAAATACTGACTTTTAAACAGTATTTAATTACTTACAGTAGTGTCTCGAAACCACTTAGTTTGTCGGCCAATACACAACGTAATTAAATTAGATTATTATTTAATATGTAGTTTTAAAATATAATATTGACGACTCACTACTATTTTAACACATTTGAAGTGACTCGAACCACATCATCACCATCAGTGTTGCAACATATGTTCACGGTACTATGTATCGGTTACTAACTCTCATTGGTCAATTTTTTCTCACATTCGTGTTTGACAAGGTAAACTACGTATAAAGGATCATGTCACAGAGATTGAATTAATACTGGTCATCACAGGGGTACCACGTGTTGGGAGTGTTTGCTGACATTTATCATGATATTCAAAGCTATTTTCCTCACTGAAGATTACATTTCCCCACAGCCATGTTATGTTTTCTGTTCACTCTATAACTGGAATTTCTGAAAATCTTATGACTTTTCGACAAAACCATGTTTTTGTTGTGTTTTTTTTTTCACAAAAAGATGCATATTTTTTTATATATTTAAAAAAAAGAGTATGAAGTATTGTCGAAATCAGCACTTTAGTGTATTTAGAAAAAAATGTTTCAGAATATTTTTATTTGCATTCAGTTTGCATTCAATAACCACTTCAACTATCGATTTACCGGTAAAATATTTAAACAAATTACCGATTCCATCACAGAAAGCGTTATTTTTCTCATTCTAGAAATGATCTCCAATATATTAGCAGATACGTATAGGATGCATGTGTGGCAATGTCAGACACACCGGTGAAAGCAATGCGGACTTGTATTATTTTTCATTTCCTAATAAGTTTAGGTTAGAAAATCTGTTGTTGGCATCTATCACATATTGGGTATTCAAATGGTAATAACAGCAATATTATTGGTTTAATGTTCTGAAAAAAGTTAAACGTACAGACTGATGTGGGAGTACGTAAACCATGTATGTGTACATGTGTACAATAGTTGAATGACGTCATTGGTTATGCTTATTTTATGCAAATACATAAGTCAGTGTTTTATATGAGACAGGAAATCAACTTGAAAAAGTGTACACAATAAAGATGACTCAGTGTGATTTCAGAAAATTACAGACAAATAAGTTTGGATAAAAAATGCCATGCGAACATGGGACTCAACAGTAAATAATACATGTTTAAAACAAATCTTTTTTGTAAAGAGATATATAACAGTAAGATTTTGTGACAGAGGTATATAATTCCATCATTTGTAAGAATATACAGGTATTAGCGGAAGGTGATATTACGAAATCAACCGTCGAAATTAATGCAAAAAGATATACATGTATGTCAAATACTCTGGTTCTTTAATCGGCACTTTGGTTTGGCACATTATCGGTAAGTTGAATACAATGAGTTAGTCAATGAACAACCTGTTAATCTTTTTCATCCGAATGACTGGTACTGTATGCGGGGTTAACGACGTCTCCGTTGGTGGCGCTTTCACTTGGCACTACCGTCATATCAATATCGTCAAAATCAACTTGGATTGAAGCGTCCATCTTCTCGTTTGGAGGATTCGCGTTTTTCTTATTTTTCTTGGTTTTTCTGTAACACCAAAACAGTGATAGTAATTATATAATCAGCAACAACACTTGTCTGTTTAGAGGATGATTTCAAGCATTTAAATTAGTAATGTTTTGTTAAATAGTGTAGCTAAACATAAAAAACGCCAATCTCGACACAAACATTCAAGTTATTACGGCGACACTGGGTTAGTAAAGTTTATGAAAAAATGTAAATTATACACAATTGACTATCGAGATCTCATTGAGAGCGAGAAAATCACGCAACATGTTGTAGCCCTCTAAATAGTGTTTCATTTCCTCTTGCCGATCGCGCTCAGTTCTACTTTAGAAAGAGAGGGACGGGCAACTGGACTATAAAACAAAGGATTTCACGACATCCGGCGTGCAACTTGGGTTACTATAGTTATAAATGACCAAGCTAAGGGTACCGTATGACGTCACTCACAGTCACTCGCCCGCGCAGTTTGTTTCAGTGCTTGTGCTTATTACATCGAATTTTTACTAGATTTCAATTATACAAGATCCATTTGTTTTTGTACTGGTTATTAGGTAACTGACCCTTGATAAATGTAGAGTTACAATTCGTTTTTCATCAGTATAAATTAACTACTCGGCTGATTTTATGTGTGTGTTCTCGCTGGTGACCAATGGTTGGCTAATACTTATCCGGCGACTGCCGCATTTTCGCCCGTTTTCGGGAAAATATTTTTCACTTAAATCATACTATTTTCAAGGATACTCGCGTATTTTAATTTTGCTAATCTATATTTTAATGTCATAATTCTGAAATTTCCTAACTGTCTGGACAGCCAGGACTCCGATCGTCCAGATTTTTTAGGTCGCTTGATTTTCGCCCGATTTCTCAAAAATAAAACATATGTTTTTTAAATTATTGCGTGTTTTTTTACTCGAGTCGTGCCTTTTTCGACGTAAATAGGGTATTTTAATTTGATGACTCGAAATTCTGAATTTTCGAAAGTCAGCTTACACCGGAAATGGCTGACCAGGTTTTAGATCGCTGTATTTTCGCCCGATTTCTCAAATATAAAGCATATATTGTTCAAATTATTGCGTTTTTTACTTGAGTCGTGCCATTGTCGAAGTAATTAGGCTATTTTATAAAATGATTTGCTTTACAAAAGTCGAAATTCCGAATTTTTGAAACTGTGAAGGTGTGAAAGTCCGGAAATGGCTGGCCCGGTTTGTTTTTAATTTTCTTTCTTTAATATGTGTTCTGCTTGAAACGTTCAAAAAATATTGTTTTTGTATGGCGAGTCCTTTTTTGTAGTGTAGTTGTGTGAAAACCATATTGTTTTTCTGAAGTGATGTGTTAACTGCATTTAACTGTTATTTTTTCATGTATTTTGTTATTGTCATGCTTTGTCTCGACTACCTAGGCAATATTACTCGGAGAATAATCAAACTGCATGTTTTTATTTATTACAAAATTGTTGTTAAATCACTATAAATTAGAACACTCAGTTGCATTATACATGTACGTTTTTTCAGAAATTAGAGTATAAAACAAATATTACAGTTAACCTAACATTTCATATATTTGTTTAAAATTTGCAATACTGCATTTACGTACTTTAACCACCATTCTAAAATGTTTTTTTTTTTTAATTTCTTTCAGCCATGCCTTATAAATATGGTATTGGCAGGCGCACAAAAAACTATGAGAAGAAAAAAATTACCAAAGCTGCTTGCAAAAGAAAAAGACTTGAAGCTGCCAACGCATTGTGTTCATTGGGGGAAGGCATGATACCAGATACACCCCCGAACCACGGTGCAGCCCAATATGTCAACCAATCACCTTCCTGGTTGTTGACCCCAACAGTTAAAGTCTATGGTTCTACCGCAATCTATGCAACCACAACATTTGGAGTAATTATGCGTTGACGGGAGACAATTGAACAATTATATTTGACAAAACGAATTCACCTGATTACTTAACTTTGAGCGAGATGACGGCGACTATTGCTTCTAAGGTTTATTTCATAAACTTACGTAGTATCTCGATTACAGTACAGTGATCACGTGACTTTCGAGCTGTCAGTGTCAAATTACGTGGTAATATATTGAATAAAGTTTACACACTGTGTTACTGTGAATGGTTTGTGTAAACACAGGAATAATATTAATAAGTGGGTTGTTTCTGCCAACTTGGAAACCGTTAGAATAAATATGAACAGCTTCTTTGCTGTCTTATTACAAGTATGGTCTATTCTTTCCATGGTGCAAATGTATTCAGAATTTCTGTGACGTCACATTATAGGAAACACTGTAAATTTCACATTTGCGTTCTTACTTACACGCCAAATTGTTCCCCTTCTTCCATGGTTTCTGGCAATTCTTTATGAAGAGTCTCTGGTAGAAACAACGCCAATAATCCAGCCATTATAGAAAGAACACCAAATATCACAAATGGTAGTGGTATCCAGATGTAATCTCCAAGTAACATCACGTAAGGCGAAGCGATACCGCCAATTCTCGCACTCATTGATGATACTCCTAAACCCGCATTCCTGTCAGAATAAGCAAATCATCACATTCCTGTAAAATTGTGAAGCCATTTGACAGGAGGCGAGTCTTTAGTCAACGTATCTGGCAACAACACAATGCAAAACGATAATAACGGACAGCATAAGGCAACTAACTGTGGCGACGGGCGACTAGTTTGTGTGTTGCTTGACCCATCTAAGCTGACGAGATTTCACCATAAACAAAAAGTACCTCGCGGTAATGGATGCGTTGCTTGATGCTTTGCTCGATGGATTGCGTCGTGTTAACCGCCTAAAGCCTTTACACAACGCCCGAGCAACGTACGAGGAAATGACAGTCGCCTCGCGCGTATTTTACAACGCAGGCTTTCAGGCAACTATTCGCCCATTGCCAGTATTAGTCGCCGCAGTTGTGTACACATTTGCGAACTGTGATCGTTGCACATACGCAAAACGACATTCTACGTAAAGTATTATTTTTTTTCTTTACGTCAAGTGTTCCTTCACCCCCTTGTCATGTAATTCCATCGATAATTGCAACTCACTTTACGTCACGTGTTCCTTCACCCCCTTGTCATGTAATTCCATCGATAATTGAAACTCACTTTACGTCACGTGTTCCTTCACCCCCTTGTCATGTAATTCCATCGATAATTGCAACTCACAAATGATATGCGACTAGGCTGTAAATAATGATTCAAATTTCGCGGCAAACGATTTTATCATGATGATGTCATGCGCAAATTGGTTACAAATCGCGCCTTCATTTATATGATGTTTCTCCTTTTGTACACGTTTTTGACGTCCGCTAGCTAAATCGCATCATGCAAATTGGCCTCAAACGTACTAGGGTCTGGATATCCAGGGGCGTCACGGGCCACTGACAAATCTGCTTGGAAATTGGACCTTGAAGTCCGCTATAGACACAAATCACTTACCTGACTGGCGTTGGGAACAGCTCAGTAGCCCATATGTATATGATGAGGTACGATCCAGCAATGCAGAATTTTCCAAAAAAGGCTAAAGAAGATGCTGCCCACTGTAATGCTAGAAAAAATAATGCCAAAGTTTTAATTCCTAATAATAATAATAATAATAATAATAATAATAATAATATTATGTGTACAGTATAAATTAAAAATTGTCAATAAAGTGGGCTGCTTAGTATGTGTTTTGTTTACATTTTTTGTCTATCACAATGTAATTTCGAGGCTTGTTTCCGATACTATTTAAACGACATTGAAATTGTTATTTTTCCACTTCGATTTGACGAGATTTGCAACTGGATCAAATGTTGTACGGGGAAATTGAATATTTACCCCGATCATTTGAATAACAATAACGCTACGATTCTTTCCCTCAAAAATATTCATTTTCATTTGAATAATTAAAAATGTGTTTTTGTATGTTTTTCTCCTTTTGCCGCGTAACTGAAATTTGAGCGTTTTCGTGCGCTAAACAGAACGTCCGATTTCCGCCCGATTCTTCTTTAGCGTGTATATTTAATTGTTTGAGAGGCATTGTAATTGAACCAAATGACTACATGTTGTCAAATATTATGTCATGATATGGCTCACGCGCGAATTTTTTGTTTACATTATTTGTGCACATCCCCATCTTTCACCTGCTCTCGCGTGCGTGGTCTGTGCGTCGCCGAATATACTCACATTCATCTTCCAGAAACGGACAGGATGCTATGAGTGCAGCGCCACCAAGTATCATGAACGTAGTTAGCATGATGCGCCTTCCTGTTCTGTCGAGTAGAACAATACACAGAGCGTACGCTGGCAATTCCACGGCACCAGATATAAAGAAACTAATATAAGCATTCTTTGCTAAACCATCCGTATTCAAAGAAAGGCCGTAGTACACCATACTATTACAGAACCTGAATTTAAAAAAAAAACATAATTCACCAATATAATAATGTGCCTACGTCTATATAATATGTCATGTGTTTTTTATGGGTTCGTCAACAGGACAGTGTGGTTAAAATGTCAATTTATTTTCCGATCTGATAACTGCAATTTTATTAATAGCAATTAGTCGAACTCATCAAGGTCAATTTGATTCAAATTTGTCATGACAACCGCACTTGTGCACGCCATTTTGTTTTATGAATGAAAAGGGGCAGCCGCTGTATTCTTTGTGTATAGGTAGTTGTTCTTTTTTTCGAATTTTATGAAAAGATAAAACACAATTTAATTCGATAACATTGAAATTCTCTAAATCCAAACTACACCGAAGCATATTTTCTTTTTATTTATATAGCAGGAGCCGTTCATAATATGTTACTTATTAGTAACTCATTTCTTTGCGATTTGTAAAGTTCAGGTTTAGCGTAAATCATGTGTGATACTGTTAATTACGGCGCACGTTGGATTGCTTTTGACTATTTTGAAGGGCGTCTGAATTATGAAAACAAATAAACTTGATGTTGGTGTAAAATGTTAAGGGGTGGTAATACTTATGGGGTTGGCGTATGAAAACATGTTCAACTGAACTTGTAAGTCACGTGGTAAGACACGTAATTAACACATACATACTACTTACTATACGTGCTAAAAATATAAACGATTTGAATTCACAATAATATAGGCTTTACCAATTGAAAAATATGTTCAGCGATCGTATTCGGATTCGCGGCGTCTTCATCAAATCAAACATGTTGTATTTCTTTTCTTTTTCTTCCTGTAAATAATAATTACAATATTCAGACGCTATTTTT